GTACTGGATATTCAAGAAATTCCGAGAACTTTCTTTCCAATCAGATATTTCTAAATGTTGTTCTCATTGCAACGTAAAGCTCATTAAATAAACCCGCGAGGGCCTTATTCTGAGTTTCGACCGGGTCCCAATCATTCGAACTAAAATGCAAGACTCCCAACTCGGCTCCCAATTGCAGCAGAAGGAAAAGGCCACACTCGGCCACCGCCACAACGACACCCGCTTTCAACATGTACAAACACATGCTGTGCTAGGGAAGCAATGAATCACAGACCTATGAAAATCTCTCTCAATATCACCTGCACATGACAATTGCTAAAAAAAAAGTTATGACAAGACCAAGTTCGATTGTTACAAGTTACCATGAAGCTTTGCTTGACCATATCTTTTAGAGGAACTCTCAGATGCAGCTGATATTTCACCGAGATTCATAGTCCTGAACGTTTTTTTCCATGCCTAAAATGTTATATATCAAGTAGATAGGTGGCGCTGCGGTCGACTTCAGTGCCCTCTATTGGCATGCAGCGCCATCTGGTGGCAATTGAAAAAGACTCCTTGAATTATGAACCTCTCTGTCAAATACCACCTGAATCTGACTGTCTCTTGAAAAGTTATAGCCAATCAAAATAGGGCATTGACTCCATAATAACCCTGAATACATATTTTACTACGAGGTATATGAGGAAAGGCGTTTTGATGCAGAGAAGAAAAAACTTTTCCTCACGATAATTTTTCAGGAGTCTGCATCGTTCATTCTCATTCAGTTTTTCTAAGAATAGAAAAAGCGATTTTGTCGGATAGGAGAGCTATAGTAATGGTATGGGAAAATGCTGAGCTTTTTTACCTAAACGATTCAGGATCACAAATTTCTCGAAGTCCTCCAGTTTGTCTGGAAAGGAAAATTAGACCGAAATTGATAAATGGCCTGGAAATGTAGCAGAAGAGAAGTGCCTACGTATGGAGAAGTAAGAGTCCGGAAGTGTGCATGACTGGACCTCAAGTAATTATTCGGAAGAGAAAAAAAAAGTTCATTCCATGACGAGAGAAATAAATATTGAATGTGAAAGAAGATATTTCTTCACCTAAACAATTTGGGAGCACGTATTTCATATCCTTCCTCAATTTTTCTGAAAGAGAAACACGTTTTTGAAGCAGGAGTGTGGAGATGCCGCAGGAAAACATGGGGTTCCTTACCGAAATTCGCCATTAGGACACATTTCTCCTTCTTCTCCAGTTTTTCTTCAATAAAGGAAAAAAAATTCAATCGAAGCGTAATGAGTAAATAGTGAATTAAGATGTTTCTTACCAAGGTATCGCAAGTGCTTGGATCTCTCGTTTTCGCCAAGGTTTCCTTGAAGAAAAATAGAAATTTCATGGTCTAAGAAAGGCGTGAGATATTTGGTTTCATAGACAGGGCTTACTTACCCAAATGACTCATTAGTGATACTGTCTCGAACTCTCCCAGTTTGTCTAAAAGAGAAGAGACACTAGTTCGGAAAAGGAGACGGAGAGACATTCTATGGAGAAACAGTCGTTTCCTGACCAATGCTCTCTAGAAAGATTTGATTCCTCAACTTCCCCTCTTTGTCTGGAAGAGAATAAAGTTGCTTGGCCAATGGAGCAGGAAACTGTCTGAGGAATGAAAATTGAATAATCTTACCAAGAGTGCCGAGAAGAATACGAGTTCCCCATGCCCCAAGCTTATCTGGAAATGAGATAGAAATTGATTAACATGAGAAGGTCCGTACAAATCCTGTGGTTAACTATGATCTCTTACCAAAGCTTTTTAGAAACAGGTAATCCTCGAATTCCTGAAGTTCTTCTATTAATCACAGGGAAAAAATTGTTCCATTAGGCAAAGTATGGAGATACAGTTTGAAAACTAGACCTTTCTCACCAGAAACATGCAGAGACTGGCTTCTCTCCCCCTCCTCAAACTTTCCTGAAAGGGTAGAGAAGATTTCGTTGTATTTTAAACTAAGGAAAGGATATGGAATTAGGGAATGGGACTTGTTCACTGTAATTTTCCACGAGCATTCGCAACTCTTCCTTCCCCAACAATTCTGTAAGAGAGTGAATGATTTATTATTATGAAAATGGGGACGCAGATGCGAGGAAGAAAGAAAGAATTCCATACGGAAACTTTCCAGAAGTGCGCATCTTACGCCTTCTTCTAATTTATCTTTGAGGAAAAGAAATATATCGTCTCATTAACACAGACATGTGTATGCAGCGGGAATAGAACTTATTAAGACTTCCTTACGAAAACGTTCCAAGAGTGCTCTGGTTTCGCACACCCCTCTTTCTTCTGAAAGGGATGGAAAAATATATTTGAAGGGAGAGGACGAGGACGACACATTGTTATGGAGTGAGGCTTTCTTACCGAAACTTTTCAGGAGTATGTATGTCTCACGCTCTCCCAGTTTCTCTAAAAGGGGAAGCATATATTATGTCGGATGAGGATGGTTATGGAAATGAAGTCGAAAAATCTGTACCCTCTTACCATAATATTCTTCGAGCCAGACATACTCTTCCTTTTCCAAATTCTCTGAATTGATAGAGAAATTCCATAACTTAGTGATATATATGTGTCAAATTATGAATATATAGTGGGAATACAGACCTTTCTCAGCAAAATTGAGCAGGAGTGTATTCGTCGACAACGTCCCTAGTTTTTCTGGAAACGACAAATAGTTTATGGCCTTATGTCTACCGTGAACGTCAATGGAAAATAAATGTCCTACCAAAATTTTCCAGGAGTTGGCACCTATCATCTTCTATCAGAATGTCTGTGTGGAAAAGATATTTCTTTGAGAGACGAGTATAACAGGCATGTAGTTGGTAAAGTAGGGCTTTCTCACCAAAGCTTTTCACTAGTTTGAAAGTCTCGTACTCCCCCAATAGCCCTGAAAGTGAAATTTCGCAAAATCAGCACCTAGGTACATGAAATGGCCTTGCTCGATAGGAGAGGTCATTCTCACTAAAATTCTCCACTATCCAGAATTTCTCCTCCCCATTGACTTTCTCTGGAAAGGACAGAGATCATGTCGTGTTAAGAAAACTGGGGTTCATATGCATGCAGGAATGAAGGGGTTCATTACCAAAACTTCCTGATATTGTTCTTCCTTCCTTTCCCACCAATTGGTCTTCAATGAAGAAATTTTAGTTTTTATTTCCTTTTATAAATACTATCAGGATCCTGTGAAATATAAAAATTAACATACCAAATCTCTTCAAGAGTCTGTCCTTCTCCACCGTCTTCAGCTTTTCTGAAATTATATATATTTTTATTCAGAACATAAATGGAGATGGGGTAGGAAATATAGGGTCTTCCTACCAAAAATTCCCAGGAAAGTGTGCCTTCCCCACGCTCCAATTTCACCTACAACAGAGAAACAGAAAGAGTTAAAAAAGGAATCGAATTCAGATGAAGAGGGAAAAGAAGAGATTCCATACCAAAATTTCGCATTATTATGTAAATGTCAATCTCCTCTAGCTTTCCTGATGGGGAAAAGGGAGAAATAATTACATGATGGTTGGAGTCAGGTTGCAGAGAATGCACAAGCGCTTCATTACCAAAAGATTTTAGGAGTCTGTACTGACTGTCCCCACCCATTCGGTCTATATGGGAAGAAAAATGTTGTTCTATGAAGAACAGGGATACCCATACGAAAAAAGCCTAAAAGATTCTTACATATATATTATGGGATCTTATAACAATCCTATAGGACGCCCAAAGGATGTTAAGAGAACCCCCTAGGATTCCTATAAACATCCTGTTATATTTTCATAGGATCTAATACTATTATTTTGTATACGTATATGGAAGAGTAAAAGACTTTTCTTACTGAAACACTCCTGGAGTTGGCGTTTCTCGTTCATTTCGAGTTTTTCTATATAAAAAAAAGATATTTAGGTACATAAGATGATGTGTAGCGAGCTCTTCAGGTGGATTCGAAATCAGGTCGATGCCCTTCTAGGTGGAAATCCAGCAATTGAGAAACTTCCTACTATTTTCGAATCCACCTCTACCCCTCTGTTATCCACCGGTCGCTCAGTTTCCATGGACGTATGTGTACTAGTTCTAAGGCTTGGCATACAGGAGGGAAGCAATAAATTCCTTACCGAGACTTTTCAGAAGCAATTGAGTCTTTAACTCCCCCCATATGTCTGAAAGGGAAATATAACCTTATCACATAAGGATTGGCATTAAAATGCGTGACAAAAAACCGCCAGCGCACCAAAGCTTTCCATCATTTTGGATATCTCGTCTACCCCCAAGTCCTCTGGAAAAAAATGGAGTGGTTTTTCTGCAAGAAGGATCACGGAAATACTGTTAAAAGAAGGAAGGATTCCATACTAAAGCTTTCCAACAGAATGCGAATGTCTGATGCTCCCAGTTCATCTGGAAGAAAAAATAGATTTCTTGGTGTGAGTAATTACTAGAAGAGGTAATCGGAATTGGCTCCTCGCATAACTTGCATATTCCATTCACTTGAAGCATAGTACGGTAGTGATTAGGCGGTACTATATCGATGGTCTAGACCTGTGGTCCTCAAATTCTTAGAGATGAGGGCCACATGTATACTTCAGTCCACCTCGAGTGGGCTGCATCGGACGTTTTAGCAAATATGCAAAGTTTCTGCAAAGTGAACCATTCAAGTCTTTGCTCTACTTCCAGGTAAAGCTTCTTTAAGTCAGTAAATCTCATTCTGAAATGAGCAAGAATCACGAAGTGCCGACGGTTGACGCATCTACAAGCACTTCGACCGATTTCGATGGACACTCATCTTTTCTCTTGCTTTTCACTATTTGCTGGTAAGATCAAGACATTCATCTTAGCAGTATATTAATTTTCTTCATTGTTGGTCGGTTCAGCGGCACCACATTTGAATATTGAGAGTGGTTCCAAAAAACCTTTGACCCTCAGGGTTTTTACAAACTGTACAATACCATCGGATGAAATCAAATTTTATTGCTAGAGAAACTCTATTTAGAATATTGCTTCATGCTAAAAATGTTAATTTAGTTTGAGCAATAAATCTCAGCAATTACAGCAAAATTTCAAAGTGCCTCGCATCTTGAATGCACATCACAGCTCGCCATCTGAAAGAATAGGTCGCTTTGTTCATTTCGGCTTGATCCAGGAGTTACCAAGCTTTATTAACACGCTCGATGAGGTAGTTTTAATCCTAAAAGGCCTTGGCATACTTACGTTAGCTCATGCTTTCTTTACACAATAAACCTTAAGTCATGAACGCAATTGTCCAAGTTTCCCTGACTTCGTGCGACCCAACAAGTGGCCCTCAAATTCACCTGACCTCAATTCGGTAGATTATTATGCAAGGAAAAGTTTTGTAAACGCGTGTATACTGAGGCAATTCGGGATGAAAACCCTCATTGAGCGTGTTATTGAAGCTTAGCAACTCCTGGACCAAGTCGAGGCAAAAGGAGCGATTGATTTGTTTAGATGGCGAGTTTGGATGTGCTTTTATCAAGATGGGAGCTACTTTGAAAATTTGCTAATTACTGTAGATTCATTGCTCAAACTAAACTGACATTTTTTGACAAGAGGCAATGCTCTACATCGAGTTTCACCTGTAGTAAAGTTTGATTTGATCCAGTGATTTTGTCACCTTCATTAATACTGTAGCCATGGGTTCAATATTTATGGAGCATCCTGTATAAACATCTGAATGTAAGTGGGTGATTGTATGTACCTAAACTAAGTGAATCAACTAACACTAACAAAAAAGTAGAATATTAGGACATTATAGTGGGCAACATAATACCATGAACTGGGTCGCAGTTACAACACCACCAGTCTGAACGAAGCATGTCAGATTTGGTGCTTGATGGTTCCACATCTGGAAAATATTTGTGCTCTGCCATTCTCTGTGTCATCCCTATACACGTTTGTCATTGACGCACGACACTGCACGATTCTACCGCAATATTGATTTTAAAAAAAATCAGGTGTTGGTACGGCTGTGCAATAACACGACTGCTTTCCAGCAGACGACAGTCCCTACCCACACGCTTTTGTGTTGTCAACAAATATGTGACAATTACATTTTTGCAAAAGTATACTGTGATATGCATATAAATACAAAATGGAAATACCTGTACAATAACATGAACTCCTTCTCTATTCGCGCACTGTATACAGGTATATGGATTTTTGACGAATAAGCGGTCTGTGAACAACCTTAGACAACCATGTTAGAGCATCTCACATCTGGCATAAATAGTCATTTCTGTTATATTCTTTCATCAAACATAAAAATATTAATATTCGATTTGTTCATGGATTTCTCATCGCAACGATTTAGTCAGCATTCTTAATCCATGCATGTACGTACATTTTAGGCGATTCAGACTTCAGATTGGAATCGTGTTCTTTCAAATTGTAATATGGCTCACCAAGCCAGCTACATGTCAAATGACATTGTTCCTAAGTTGAAATAGTTTATATTTTTGAATGAAAATTAAGAGAATGTTTGGAGTCTAAGGACTAGAAAATCTAGGATTGTACTGAAAATAATTGCCTCCATCATGAACAAGTTCTGTAGGTCCGATGTGCCATTACCTAGGAAGGGAAGAACTGTTGTGATCCCATCTGCGATCTCAAAAAGAAGGGAATGGTGGTCGAGTCATTCCCTGTAATATCTACGACTAAAAAAAGGACCAACTCTTTGTCATGGCTTCAAGAATTATGGAAATTTCGAGCAAAACACTTCATGAATATATACACCACAGACCTCGAAGTGTCTTCATGAAATCACCATCAAGACAGTCAGCACATGTTGTGCCATTTCTTCTTTGAAATGAAAGTTGATTAATATTTGACTTTTCAAATGTAGGTTTCCTTTCTTTCAAACAAAATAGGAAAATGAAATTTAGTTGTTAACATTACCATTGCTTTAGTTTGAAAATTTCCAAAAGCTCTATGTGCTACTATGCATTCTAATGATTAAAATTTGCATGCAAACGTTCGCAAAATTTGCAATTTTGTGAATTGTGTAACTCATTTTGGGATGAATGTAGCAGGAATTGCATTTAATAATCATATTCTACATTGTCTCAGATTTTATTAGTCCAAAAACGCTATTATGGCATGATTAGGACCAAATGTACCGCTTTCACCCCACAGGTCACTTTTCTCCATCCAGGCTAATATTAGAGGTGCATATCTCAGAAACCCTTAGAGCCAAAGAGCCGAGATGTTGATTTTTTTTTCATAACTCTTGGAAGCTATATTGGAAAAAATTGTCCAAGCAAATCGAAGTCTGAACCATCCACCCGCGCAACCACCCGACGACATAATACCACCCGATATACCGCCAATCTTGCTTATCGACAAGTCTTTCCTGAAAACGAATCTTACTTATAGTCCCCCCCCCCCCCCACCCCCCCCCCCCCCCCCCCCCCCCCCCCGAGTTGGAAATCCTAACCATTATGGTCGATACAATATGCTGCTTGGCGCAATATCGAGTAAGACTCGCATAGAATAAGACACGTTTCCTAGTAGAATATTACATAAAAAATATATTGATTCAATGTGGATTCAACGTCAGGACGTTGAACAAGCGTTGAATCAACGTCAATTCAACGTTATATGCTAATAGGGTTGTGCAAGTTAAGGTACTGGCGCATGGCAGCTCTCGAGAGTGGGGCTATAACAGGGGAGCCTCAATGTTAAAACCTATAAGTAAGATTCGTTTTCAGGAAAGACTTGTCGATAAGCAAGATTGGCGGTATATCGGGTGGTATTATGTCAAGGGTTGACTGTAATTCTAAAAAAGTCAGTATATTCTGGCCATCTATCAACTAGTCATGCCTTAACTTAGCTCTGCCTAGTTTATTGCTTCATTGGTTAATGACATATTTTACATTTAATTAGAGAGAAGTCTGAATTTGCTTCTTACCTGGGCTTAGAGGTGGTAATCCAGCCAGTGCCCTGTCAACAGCCAGTAAGAGAGGAACTGTGAAGCTATGCCACTTCACTTTCACCTTCCCTTGGAAAGTGATTTTGGTCCTAGAGGAAGGGAGCTGGACATTTCCGTACACTTGGGAAAGGTTGTTCACCGAAATCGCAAGATCTCTAGTCCCTAAGTATAAAATAGTAGAAGAACGGGTAGGAATGAAATAAGATTGGCAATTGGGGTTCGAATAGATCACACACTGTCTTCAATCAACTCCTTCTGAATGTTATCTTCAATCATATTCTATGGATCACCCCATCATATATATAGGGTGAGCCAAATAAATCGTAGGCTCATTTTTGGTGAGTTGTCAATCGGATTGTCGGCGGTCAATTTTCATTAAGTTTGGTAGGCTTACAGTGTGAGATTATTGAGGGCTTCTTGGCAAACTTCAGCCTTCCGGCTCTAAAATTATAGGAGTATTAATTATTTTCTAAAGACCCAGCACAAAATGCGCAATCAAAAATACCGATATGAATTTGGTGACTAGAATCATGGAATTGCCCCGCCACAATAAGATAAGCTAATTTACGTAAGTTAGGTGAGGCTAAAGCCAACCTACTAACAATACATATATTTTTTTTTAAATGCCAGCACACGGTATATAAAGTGGGATTTCAACATACCTAACAATTACAAAATTTTATTTCCTTTTGTTTCAGGTGGTTGTGCATTGTCAAAAGTACGTAACATGAGTGGCAAGATCTATTAAAAACTTGCTATATGAAAAAGGCTATGGTGCAAGGAAAATGACTAGTGACTTTCCAGACAAAAATGGTCAAAATGTCAGAAAATTTATGAATCTGGTGGCTAAATTTTCAGCTTAAGTTTTCAAATGAACACTTACTTTCCTTCATCTACATAAATTATGTGCCATTCTCACAACTTTAGGATTTTGATTTTAAATTCGGCACACGAACCCAAAATGAGTCGTCCCATATGTCTATCAAAATTTCATCAGAATCACCAGGATACAATCAGATTGACAACTCACGAAAAATGACAGCTTTGTTTTTTTTTGGCCCACTCCGTATATGACCAAATGACCTTGCAAGGCACAGTGATACGTTTCCCCACTTTCTGTGGACAGAAATATTAAATCATCAGACTGGCACCGGAAACATTCTTTCATTAGATACAAAGGATAATTATGATTGAACCTGTGTGTATTGAGTTATTTGTACAGTTTTTGTTATTTTATCATTTGTCAATTTAATCATTCGTCATTTTTCTCATTTTTTCTATTTTTCCCCATTTTCCATTTTTTGCTATTGCCACTAATATTTCTTAGGTATTGCACAGACCACTGATGTGAACCTGGAGTTCAAGATTCAATTCATACTTCCTATCATGTTTCACATATATTGAGGCATTTCACATCACCACATTTTACATCACATTTTGCGCAATCACACCACATTTTGCCATTTTAGTCCTCTTCACGTTATCAAAGATCACATTCATCACATACGAGTATGGTTCAGTAAATTGCAAAATGCGTTGCATCCACATCTTTCGCATTCATCACATTTCTTCCTCGCTGCTTTCTTCATTTGGCGTTTTTGGAACAGATGATGATTTCAGTAAATTCAGCACTTGTCTTGAAATGCTTCTTCTGCGATTTCTGGCTGTTGGAACTCTTATACTTGAGATTGCTGGGTCGGAAGTGGCCAAAAAGATTATGAACAAGATCTTCATTTGCTGCAAGTCGACTTGTCTTTCTTGTATGGTCTCTTCTGTAGGCTTTTTAGTCCTTGCGACTCTCTTGCGCCTCTTCTGACATTTGCCCGACTGGAAGCATCGTCTCTTTTATGTTTTGGCTTCCATGCAACAGAACTCTATGTATAGCAAGGGGTATACGATGCAAAGAATAATGTGCAATGAACAGTTCTGGAATAAACAGTTTCCCTGGAGTACTTGGAGAAATTCTCCACATCAATCTCAAAACCAGAAGACATTGCTTGAAGAATAGTGTCGAACCGGGAAATGATATCACAGTCAACTCTTGTGATCCTGGATTCCAAGGAGGCCTGAGAGAAGAAAGCTCTGGCTGTGTTGTCATTATTGCTGGATCCAAACCCATTTTGCTTTGGCTTATCAACAACCAATGACATTTCCTTCTTTAGTTGCATCTGAATTCGTGTCCTTGCTTCTAGTAATTGAGTCTGCAATGCATCCCCACGAGCCTGCCATTTTTTTAAAATCCATTCTATAACTCAGATGAATTACATATTCAAAAAAGCGGATCCAGCAATGAAGTGGAGAAAGGCCGAACTTTAGAGCTTCTGGGTTGATGACACGCACGCTCCTGAACATGATCCAGGTCATTCATTTCTGAAGGTTTGGCCCCACAAACAGGACAAAGATGAGCACTCTTGGTGTCTGTGACGGCGTTGGCAATTTACCATCAATCATTGTCAAAGCCAACTGATGCTCGATGGTAACATTAAAGGAAGGAAGCTGAACAGATGTCAGTTGCTGAATTTGATTTTGAATGGCTTTCATTTCCTGTTTAGCTACTTCCACAGTTTCCTTGATAAACTTGAATGCAATCGGTCGACAAAATCTCGCAGAAGATGGCTTTGGATTCTGCCATATAATGACCTTCCCCTCAGATTTTCTTAGGAAAAGTTGCAGTGGAACCAAAGGTGTCACAAAAATGCAACCTTATTTTATTTCCTTGTGAGACTGTGCAAACTTTTGTCCATATTCAGGTTGCCCAGATGTTCCATCAAATCCCCACTTACTGATGAGAATGAATTTCAAAAGGCCTTTGTCCGGAAGTACTTCCAAAACTGGCATTTGCAGCTGAACCAGTCGACTAGGAGTGTCATTCAACAGTTCTTGCAATGGAATCTCTTCCCCTACTTCGGTCACCTTCACTCCATATGGGTAACAGCATTTCTTGGCTGCAAGGAGGACTACATACCAAGTATAAATGTCTGCATTCCGGACCCTAGCTTCCTTTCGTACCATTTCACAGCTGGACCTTAACAAATCTGCCTCTATATACAGGGCAAGAGCTTCATCGGGTGTGCATGGTTTGACTTCCTGTTTCCTTTTGGCCTGTCCATAGGCTGTTTTCATTTCTTTGAGACTGGCTGGTGATGCTTCAACGACGTCTTTCAATGGGTTGGCAGCATCAAACGTTCCCTCTTGTCGAAGTTTTACTTGTGCTGCAATTGCCAATTCTTCAGGTGATGCCATATTTGCCAATGTCGCGGTTTTTCGACGTTTAGACCTGTCGCTACTCTCATGGAATGGTTTTTCTGGCCTTCCAACGGAGGCCACTTGAAGAGGAATCTTGCAACAGCCAATCTGTGGCCATTAGAAGACAACTTCAAGCCAATTGAAATTGCTCAGTAAAAACCTCTGTCTTTCTGCAACCCTTCGCCCAACGAACAGAGGCAAAACTTTTGAAAAGCTTGACACTTTTCGACAATTGACATGGCCCCGATTCATGAAAATGTTCATTTATTTTGTAGTGGTCTTGAATGAACTTGACCAGCATAGGAATGACTCCTAAGTCAGCATGGTCCGCTTGCTTCATTGCCCTCATGGTGTTGCAGAGGTCCCTTCGGGTCAAGGGCTTGGGCATCCTTCTTGAATAAGTTGCGAGACCAACAATATAAAAATAATTTCTCATTTTGTTCTTCATTAATAGGTACTTAATGGCCTGCGAGGAATTCTCTGAGAAATCCTGAGAAATATTTCAAATTCACTTGATAACTGTACATTGTCATTCGAAGTAGTTCGCCAATCAACTACACAGGATCTAATAAATAACAATTTATGCATATGCAGCAGGAGTAAGACTATATATGCAATAAGCAAGACTCACCTTTAGGTATACCTTCAGATCACATTTGATGGAAACAAATTGGCAAGAACATTCATACCACAAGACAAACTTCTGTCATGCTTTGGCATCAAGTACCTATATTTTAAGAAAAGTTCGAATCATTGACCTTTGCACCACGTAATGGCTGATAAAGGGCCGAAGTAAGGCCTAAGGAAATACAGATATGGGAAAAAGACTTCAAACCGTAACTTTTAATGGCAAACGATTTTTTTCTCTCCATTTTCAAAATATGACTTTTGTCCAAGAATTTCCAGATTTTGTACCACTGTGCAAGGGTATAATTATCTGTCTTTCCGATGGTGAAAGACAGGAAAATTGTAGTTTGCGGTTTTTTTACATTCATAAATTTTTCCTGGCTGCAGTCGCCGTAGCGACCAAAAAAATGTTTGTATTCGATTCAATGCACAAACGCATCCTTCGACCGACATAAGGTGTCATTCATCGAAAAAACGTTACTTTCCTTCCAGCTCCCAAAGGTGAAGAAACCCTAATTGGCTGATGGGGAAAGTAGAACGGAGAGAGCGATGCAGACAGTGCTTACAGGGTGGCAATGGGAACTCTTGAAGCATGGCCAATGGTATCAAGACGTTGTAATCTCCTCCGATCTCTAAATTGGGACCGGTCTAATACAATATTAAAAACATTTCACACCAGTAAATGGCTTAAGTCTCCACAACACTAATTATGTCTCATTTTTCATCAATACTCGTATTTTCATTCCGTCTTTGCCCATTTGTCATGGCAGCACATGATGTGGACAAAAACATACCTGTAGAAGAGTATTTTATACAGTATAGATACATCACACACGTGAAGCGGATCACGCTTGACGCTGGTGACAGTTCTGGGTTGAGATGATTTTTCCGTAGTGGACTACCTGCAGAATGGTGCGAGATGTGTATCACATTAAAATATTGCATGAATACGTTACAGTGATACATGTTTCACCTGAGAGAGTCGCAGTATGATTGTGTGATATTAATATGTTGATATAATGATTACGTTAGGCGTAGGCTAATTCAGTGGCTGGGTGGTAGCGAGTCGGGTTTTCCTGACCGGGAGCCTTTATTCAAAACCCAGAGGATTCTGGTCTTTTTTCTGAGTCTAGGCCCCTGTGTTCTTAGGATGTGAGGCCCCGAGCACTATGTATTGCCGTCTATGCATTTGAAACGTTATATAATTACAGTGGTGAAACATGAACCTGGATTTTGTTTCCCCGAAGTCAACATGAGATAGTGTGGTAATGTGCTACCATTAGCGCAGGCCCCACTTGACCTATGTGATGCGCACGAGAGAGAAGCCAATGTTGTCCAGGGAGTGCGGTCGTGGCGGGAATACGTATGCACCCCCACAGGAGCTGAGTGGCATGTGAATGAAACTTGGTAAATTTTGAAACTTGGAGAGATGATTGCTTGCCCAGTTTTCTCTTCTCTCTTTCCTTCTCGCTCTATCTCTCTCCCCCTCCTTCTCTCTCAACTTAAATCTGAAGCTATTTTCAAGTTCACTTCGAATTTTGGGTAATATTGCGTGAAGACCACGAGGAGGTCATTCTTAGCCAAGTCCACCAAATAGGGCTATACCAGGTGGTCCAAAAGAAAACGCGTCGTGCTTGACGCCCAATAAAATCCGTTGTGTATAATCTAGGTCGTGAGATTTTCGTACTACGTTAGAAACACCACAAAATTTGTTTCCTGAAATTTTCATTTACCTACGTTGCATGAATAAATATCGACAGTCGCTCAAAGTGGAGTAATAAAATGGACTTTTCCGCGCACGAGGTGGATGGAGTTTCAGGACCGCTCGAATGATTTACCTACCTTGACGTCATAAATACCGCTTTTTATGCCAATTCAAATCCTACTATTGTACACATCGTTGCATCATAATCGATACCACGCAGAATACGTTTAACCATTTATAAATTTTTCCAAATGCCTAAACGAAAAAGAGCAAGTTCCAACCACGATCGGGAAAGCAAAAGGTTAACCAGAAAACCTGAGACAGAGCAAGAACGATAGCTCAGGCTACATGATCTACCCAGAAGAAAACGACAACTACGGTCCAATGAGACAGAGCAAGACTGAACGCTGAAGGTCACATACTTTCATGTGCCCGAGAAGTGCCCGAGAGTTGTCGTGGTTGTCACCCCGACGCGCGAGGCCTACGAGACTATGTCACTTCATGACATAGGCTAGGCCATCCATCCCTCAAAGTGCCAGGTCCATTAAGCTAAGCCATCTTTAGCCATGGGCTAGACCATCAACCGCTCAAAGCGCCAAGTTCATGTGGCCATTCAACGCACTTAGCGCCAGGTCCATCGGGCTATATCAATCTGAGCCATAGGCTTTGGCTCATCCTATTATTTACATAGGCTGCATACTTAGCTGTGTCAAGCAAAGGGTGTTACTAACTGAATGCGTGTCACGTTTTCACTGATCGACTGGAAGTTCTTCACTTGAATACATTCCTTGCTGAGGTGTTTTTTTATGTATTCATTTTTTTTCCGTCAGGTCAGACGTCGCGGTTCGCGCCATCGCTTCCACGCAATAGTTTTTTGTTTGCGTTTCATGTCATGCCGATTTATTTGAGTTCTCATGATTGATGAAGTCAAAATAATAGTAACAAAAATATTATATTCATATGTCGCGCAAACGAGGTGTACATTCCATCAAAATGGAGGCGATTTTTGCGAGGTGAGGTTGATCTCTTAGAAGAAATGTTGAAGGAGGTCACACAGGAGGGCGATGAGGCAGTTGTTGCTGGTAAAAAACGGTTGGTGCTGGCGCGGGAAAAACGTTTGCCAATGGAGTTGCGGTACAAAGTGCCTAAATCAGTGCTAGCCGTAATGGCTGGAATCGGTGATGAACAGCAAACACATGTACGTAGGGAGCTTAGTGCCGCTCAGAACGCTGAGCAGCAAGAGGCAGCGAATTCTGAGCTGCTGCATAGGAGAGCCGTGCAGCCAGCTAAGCAATTTGATGCAAGGTTTCCATTTTCAGGAATTAGTCTTAACCATTGTGCCGCACATGCAATAACTTCACTCTGTGCCGTCGAACAAGTTCTTGAAAATGGTCCGTACTGTTTCAGAATCATTGGTGTCTGTACCATACGCTAACGCTAATAGCCGATGAGCTAATCGGTGATGCAAGAGTGTTGAATGTGCTAGGAAGACGTAATCAGCAATGTTGTCTTGAGTCTCATGAAAAAGCGCTAAACCGAGGCGTTCACAATGGCGATTGTGGCAATCAACTCGAATATCATGATGATAGCGTTAAGGAGCAGAATCTCCATGTGTACTGTAAGCTATACAGTATATGTATAACTGGCGAGTTTGTTTGCCCTTCGGGCAAACAAACTCGCTGTGGTCGCGCCTTCGGCGCTCCCTTACCTTGGAGAGTGCTTAATTCATTTATTCTTTGCGAAATAGCAAACACGTATTTAAATTACGTCCCATTAGAATATGTGACATATGGGAACGAAAGTCCTCATTTTTATCAAAATCATTACTTCTATTATTTCTAGTGTGCCCAACCTGATATCTCTTCGTGTGTCCCTTTCTGTAATGGTGTAGAATATATTTTCAAATACTTCCCTCCTATAATCAATGCTCAAGAGGCATATTTCAAAAGGAGGATTTTTCCTGTACTCAGCCATCAAAGAGGTACTTCTGAAGGGAATTTTTGATTTTCCGTTTCTGTTTCGTTGGATCGAAAAATAATTCACGAATATGGGACTTAAAAAAAGTGGTCTGATTGTTTTTTACGAAAATTTTTTATTATTCCGTAATATAGATTCAGGGAACTCTATGCCACCCACTTTCAGCCTTATACGTTTCCCCATTTTGCTGGCAGTAAAAAATATATTTGGAAAAGCAACCAACCCAAAAGCTGTTCTCCGGGGAGACGCTCAGGAAAAGTTGAATTTTTCCTTAAATCAAAATCACGTCAGTTACGCGTGCGCCAGGTGCTATTTTTTAATTTCTGCCCGATTCGCTAGAATATTTGAAATTCTTTGAAAACGTTACGTCCTCAAGAAAGAAGCCCAAAAAATATTTTGGAAATTTGACATTTCACATTTGACTGAGTGCTTCCCCAGTCACGTTCTTGCCATGTTACAGCTTTCCATGGTCTTCCACGGGTTTGATTCAAGAAAAGAGAACTATTTGAAAGCATGTTCCCCGAAAAGGTGTGCCCCTATGGCGCGTACCACCAAAGTGGAATTTTTCCTGAACTCAACATGTGAATAGCTACTTATGTCAGTCAGCTACTCACGATCATCTATATATAATATGAAAGTAGAATTGTTTCTTTACTCAGCTACTCATCTTTCTATTTCTTTGCCAAGTTCAACCTTTCCAGCAATCTCCGTTTTACTGGATCAGAAAATTCCAAAGTCTGAATTTTTCTGCACGCAGCATCCGGGAAGGTATTTTTGTACCAAGTTTCATCTTTCTGCACTTGCTTAATACACCAGGACAAAAAAACACTTGAAAACGTTGACCCCCAAAAATATGCCCCAGGGCATGCATAAATATGTTGGATTTTTCCTGCACCCATCGTGTCGGTAGGCTCATCCATGGCACGTTTCAGCTTTTTATTTCTCTCTGTTTTACTCATGTAACGGGCACGGGGCGCAGTCGGTAGGATTTATAAAAATATCAAATATTAATTAAGTTCAAATAAAAACTTTACCTTAACGCCCCCCGATTCCACTACAATACATTCCCTTCCAGGAAATTTGGTTCGTGCCAATTCAAATTTGAGTGGGAGTAACTAAGGCGTAATTCAAGACAACAAAAAAAATGTATTTCCAAAAAGATAAATTAATGATAAAAAGGAAAAGAAATGTTAGCCAAACAACCAGTCCAACCCCTTTACCGTACACTCAATGATAAAGGGCTGATTTTCACTCTATCTCAGATAAAACCTTGCATGTTCTGGGGAAAAACTCACGACCTTCGAAACGAATCCACTAACTATATCGTTTTTCCTCTGTATGTTTCTATAGAGAGAAAGGCGGCCAGTTTCAAAACACCCACGATCTAAAAGGGCCCGAGTA